GAGGTAGAGGAGATACGGGTGATCTCCGTGTGTACGGTGACGGACATACGGGGATCTCCGCTGAAGGTCATGGGTCGGTAGACCGGGCCATGACAGGCCCCCCAGTCTAAAACGCGAGCTCCTGCGAAGCGTCGGTGATCAGGTCGACGGATCAGCGGGAAGCCGACGAGAAGGCTGGGTGGCGGGAAAAACGACTGCGAAGCGTTCCTGCCAGAGGGCGCCCGAACAGAAGCGTGGTCGTGATGTGAAGGGGATGAGCGGGTGACAGCGGATAGCTAGGCCGATGTCGCTGGCTGGGTGGCGAAGGAGTGTATGTTTGGTGAGGGTGGCGCACAATGGCCAGCCGAAGGGAGGTGGGTGGGTCCGTGCCGGGGGTGGCGAGGGACAATGGAAGCGAAGCGGTGATGCGAGGGCGCAAGAACATGTGTTTTGTGCAAGGTTGGCCGCCAGTTGTGACGGCAATGAGAGGGCGCAGGTTGGTGGGCGACGAGCGAGCATGATATAAGGACGAGCGTTCGACGACGCTGTCCCCACTAACTGCTTCTCGCCCCCGCTTACCCACCCCCTACTCATCTTTCTTCTTTTCTTTCACTCACAGCATGCCCCGAGCGCCATCGACACCGCGAACGCCACGCGCGGGCGGCCGACGGCGCGTAACCGGAGCGACCGGCGGCGACGGTAACGACGGAGGCGGGCGACCGCTACGTCGGCCCCTTGGGCAGGAGCCTCCGCGGGAGGACCTGCGCGCCGGTGCGCCATACGCGGGGACGGCGCCGTCGATCACGCCGCAGGAGGCGCGGCGGTTGGTGGACGAGTACCCCTACCCGCGGCACCAGAACCAGGTGGGGTACCAGCACCCTCCGTACCGTGAGTGACTGGTGGTGGCCGGGGCTGATGGTCAGCCGCCGAATATCAGAACGAGGCGATCCGTCTGACGGGGCGGTTGGTCGAACCGTCCTGCGACCGTTGCGCGGAACGCGGGACCGACTGCATCTTCGGCGCCGTGTCGTTCCGCTGCGCGTGTTGTCTGGAGGCGGAGGTCGGCTGTCACTTCCACGGGCGTTCCTTCAGGGACATGCCCGTGGAGCGTCGTAGCGCGGTCGACCTCAGTCCCGACGAGGTGGGGATGCTCGCTCGCTATCGAGCGGAGCGAGCGAACCGCGAGCGAGACGAGCGGCGCGCGCGGCGCGCGAGCCGTCGCGAGGCGCTGCAGCGGGACATCGCCGCGGCTACGCCGGAGGACGCGCGAGAGCTGGCTCGGCAGCTCGTCGAGGGGTCCGTCGATACCCCAAGCGAATCGGGCGATGGCGTTGGGCCCGGAGCCTCCGCCGATTCAGGGCCGTCTGGGGGAGTCGCGGCGGACAACCGACACGGTCCGTCCGCGCCTCAGACGCCCGTGACCCCGACGCCACGGAGGCGTCAGGTGTCGAGCGTGCGTCGCGCCGTACCGTACCCTCCCTCGGGGCAACGGTTACCGACGCGCACGCGGGTAACGATCGCTGGGTCCCCGCCCACGCCGACGGCGGTGACAGCGAGTTCCTCGGTCGAGCCGATCGAGGCCCCCAGTCGCGAAGTGCGCGCGCGGGCTGCCGAGCAGCGGGCGGCGCTGGGCCGTGGAGCGGCCCCCGTTCTCGCGACTGGCGGCAGCGTTGCGGGTCCCTCGGGAACCCAGGAGGTAATGGACGTCGACTCGCCCGAGGCGGCCAGGGGGTCGCCGACCCAGCCTGAGGTGGTCCCGGCCTTAACCGCGGGGGACTTGACGCCCGCGCCCGTGGAGGAGGCGCGACCCATGTACGAGGGGCCGGCCAACCCGTACCAGTTGGTGAGGGGGCGCTGGGTGTTGGTGGGGTCGGAGGAGCAGGGCGCGCGATACCTGAGCGCGCAGGTGGAGCAGGTGAGGTTGGAGTCGTTGTCCTGGGCCGCGATTCGTATGCGCGAGGACCCGTTTCGGGACTTGAACCTCACGGCTCCTGATGCCGACGGGATGGTCGCCATTCTCGACCACGTCCTGATGCAGCGAGCGCGCTGGGTGAGTCACGTCGTCCGGGCCCGGGGCGAGGTTATCCTGGAGCCCCTGGACCCGGCGAGGTGGGCCGTCCTGCAGACCCGTATGCAGGCGTGGGCGAGGTGGGAGGTCATGGAGCGGCTGCTGGTTGGCTATGTGCCTCCCATGATGGTGTGGCACGAGGCGGAGGACCGGCTGCTGGCCATCCGGCCTCCGCGTCGCAACGAGTGAACGGTGCATTCATAGGCGATGTAAGAGCATGTGTCTAGGAACAGCGGGCGGTCTAGCGGGTGGCCGGCGGCACGTAGTGCTTGGAGCGAGGTTTGTCAGGGTACCGTCAGTGGAACGCGTGGACTTTGTCCATCGCGTTGGCGAGGTGCTTGTAAGGTTCCCACGTGTCATCGCTGTATCCGGTCCACCGGACGAGATATTTAACAGGGTCGCGCGTGCGGCGGGCGTCTCGTCGGGTGTCGAGAATCTCCTGGACTTCCCATTCCTCGGTGTCGTCGACGATGTCGGGCGGCGGCGGAGTTTGGACACGACCTGGTATTGTCGAGGTCGGCGCCGGCTTTAAAACGTCGACGTGGAGGACGGGGTGAATCTTGATCGATGGGGGAAGATCAAGTTGGAAGTTGACCGGCGAGATCTGTTTAATGATCTGGAACGGTCCGATGTATCTAGGCGCGAGCTTCACCGATGGGCGGCGTAGGTTGATGTTCTCGGTGTCGACTAAAACAAAGTCGTCCTTCTTGTAAGGTGGTGGCTCCGAGCGATTGCGGTCGAAGTACTTCTTCTGGAGCTCCTTAGCGAGAGTGAGGCGCGAGCGTAGGTACGCGTGTATTTGGGCGACCCGGTCGGCGCGAGCGTGAGCGTTTGCGTCGGCTAACCGTGGGTCGTCCTTGCGAAGGTCCGCGCGGCCGACGGCGTCGTCTGGTCCGCGCGGGTGGAAGCCGTAGAGGGCGAAAAAGGGTGAAATACCGGTGGAAGCGTGAGAGGCGGAGTTGTATGCGAATTCGGCAAGTGGTAGGAAATCGGCCCAGTCGTCTTGTTGGTAGCAGGTGTACATGCGGAGGTATTGGTCGAGCCATTGATTTACGATTTCTGTTTGGCCGTCCGTACGAGGGTGATGTGCAGTGGAGAACCGAAGGTCGGTACCCGCCCGGGCGCTTAGGGAGCGCCAGAAGTCGGAGGTGAATTGTGTACCGCGGTCGGTTACCACCATCTCCGGGACACCGTGCTGTGCGACGACGCGGCGCAGAAAGAGTTCCGCGAGGTCGGGGGCTTTAGTGGATGTGAGGCAGGGCTCGAATTTGGCGCCTTTGGTTAGAGGGCAAACCATGACGCAGATGGCGTCAAAGCCGTTGGAGGTTGGCAGATGTACGATGAAGTCCATGGTAACCGTCCGCCATGGGCGAGATGGTACGTCTAAGGGGCGTAGCAGTCCAGTGGGCTTCGCCCGGCGAGACTTCGAACGTTGGCAGATGAGGCATGAGGCGACGAAATCGTCGACAAAAGCCTTGATGCCGTCCCAGAAGAAGTGTCGGCGAACCGAAGCGAACGTTCTGCGTCGTCCCGGATGACCTGCTAGGGGGCGATTGTGATGGTCCTCTACTATGCTGAGGCGGAGGCGTCCCGCGTCGGGCACGTAGAGTTGGTCCTGGTGGCGAACGAGACCGTCGGCGTGGAGGACAAAACGTTGTTCCCCCGGGCGTCTGGTGTCGGTGCGCACACGCTCAGCCAGGGCCCGACAATCACTGTCGGTTTGCTGCGCGAGGCGTATTGCCTCTAGTGCTGTGGAGTCGATGTGTAGGTCGGTGGTGGTGGCCGCCGTTAAGCGGAGGATGGAGCGTACGTCGTGTTCCCGGTCGGCCGCTGTGAGTTCATGGTCGGCGCGCCTAGAGAGGGCGTCGGGTTTACCAGACAGGCAGCCCGGGCGGTGTTGAATGACGTAGTCGAAACGCTGAAGGTCGACGCTCCACCGAGCTTGTTGGGGATCAAGGAGGCGCTTAGTTGTGAAGTAAACCAGGGGTTGATGGTCGCTTAGAATAAGAACTGGGTGCTGGGCTCCCTCGAGGTATGATCGCCAAAACATGAGCGATGAGACGATCGCCAGGAGTTCCTTGTTGTGGACGGTGTAATTGAGCTCGGCCGGCGAGAACTTCTTCGAGAAGAAGGCGACCGGTCGAATACCGTCAGGGAAGCGTTGGGAGAGGACGGCACCCATGCCGTAGTCCGACGCATCGGTTTCCAGAATAAATTGAAGGCGCGGATCTGCGTGTTGTAGAATATCTGCCGACCGAAAAGCGGCTTTAAGGTCGAGGAACGCTTTGTTGGCCTCGGGGGTCCATTTGAATGAACCGTCTCCCTTTGTGAGGTCGGTGAGCGCTGCTGCGATGATGGAGTACGCTTTAATGAACTGTCGGTAGAAATTGCAAAATCCCAGGAAGGCCTGGACGTGTCGTAACACCGTCGGGACAGGCCAACCCTCGATGGCCTTGACTTTCGCCGGGTCCATACTGATGCCGTCGGCCGACACGATGTAGCCGAGGAAATCGATGGATGTGGCGAAGAAGTCGCATTTCTCTGGTCGAGCGAAGAGATTGTTGCTTCTTAATCGCCCGAGGACGGCACGAATGTGTTTCTTATGGTCGGCCTCGTTGGCGGAGTAGATGAGTATGTCATCAAGGTAGGCGATGACGTGTTGATCAAGCATGTCCGCAAAGATGCGGTTAACCAAATTCTGGAACGAGGCGGGAGCATTGGTGAGACCGAACGGCATGACGAGGTATTCAAACAGGCCGTAACGGGTCCTAAAAGCTGTCTTCCACTCGTCACCTTTGGCAATCCGAATCTGGTGGTAGGCGTTGCGGAGGTCGATCTTGGAGAAGATCTTGGCAGCCCCCAACCGATCCAATAGCTCGGGGATCAGCGGTAGGGGGTACCGGTTCTTTCAGGTGACTTTGTTTAGTCCTCTATAGTCGACGCACAGCCGGAGAGAACCGTCCTTCTTCTTGACGAACAGGATGGGTGCCCCTGCGGGGGACTCGGAAGGCCGAATGATTCCGGACGCTAGTGAGTCTTGGATGTAGTCGTGCAGGGTTGCCATCTCGACTGGCGAGAGCTTGTAGATGGGTCCGAAAGGTGGCGTGGTGCCTGGTTCAAGGGGAATACGGTGATCGAACGGACGGTGTGGAGGCAGAGCGTGCTTCGGGTCGTCCGAGAACACGTCGGCGAAGTCGTGGAATTCTCTGGGAACGTGGTCCAGGCCGGTAAGTGGGCGGTCGTCCGATCCGACGGTGGCCGCATCACTGCGGACGGACAGTGCTCCGAGGAAGACACCGATGGCCCCCTTCTTCGCCTCGTCCTTGAAGGCCGCGGCGGAGATGAACTTGATGTCGGGGGTCCCACTGATTGGGTTCTCCAACGTGGGTGCGAATGGGTAAGAGAGTACCTTGCCCTGTCGCCAAGACACTTCTGGTTCGAACTTGTGGAACCAAGGCATCCCCAGGATGATCGGCTGAGACCGCAGGGGAAAAACTCCAAAAGTGATAGTTTCTTCGAAGCGGTCGAACCGGAGTGTTAGCTTGATGAAGTGGGTAACCGAGGTGGTCGACCGAAGGCCGTCCGCCAGGGTTACCGGTAGTGGGTGTCGTAGTTTGGTGGGCGTAATGCCCTGCAGGATGAGGAAGTCGCGGTCGATGAAGTTGATGTCGGCGCCGCTATCTAGCAGTGCCGAAACTTCGACGAACTCACGTGGTGTGCCCCCCGAAGCGGGGCGGAGTTGAACGGGGATCTCTATCCGAGGGGCGGGGTGATGCAGCCCTTCGGGAGAGGGGGGAGACCTTTGAGACGACGAGGAGACGGAGCCGAGGAACAAGCCACGGGCGTCAGACCCTGGGAGCAGTTGCTCGGGAGAATCGGCGGCACCGGCTAGGCGGTGCCCCGTGCTTTTACCGTCGGACAACTGTCGGCCTGGTGCTTCGGGCTGCCACAGCGGCGGCACTCGCGGTATTGGTCTCGTAGTTTGATCTCCGATTCGGGGACCTTATGGTCGGACGATAGGGTGAACCCGCGGTATTTGTTATCGCGGCCGTTAGGTCCTTTGTAGTTGGGGTCCCCTCGGGTACCCGGCAGGGACGTTGTCGGTGCCGGGGTGGATGAGCGGCCGGAATTGGCCGGTCGGGTTGAAGTTCGGGATGGATCCTCGCGGGGGCGGCTACTCGAGGAGTGGCCTCCTTCTGCTCGTCTTTCCTGGTTACGGGTGTACAAGCGGGTGTCCAAATGGATAGCCAAGTCCATTAGCTGGGTGACCGGGAGATCGCGAGGGCGGTGGGTGTGTACCAGCTCGTCCTTGATGGTGGGGGAGAGGTTGTGATAGAACAGGGCGCCGACTGGTGCGGATTCGACGTCCCATCGCAACTCGTCCACCATACGGCAGAACTCAGAGACGTAACCGGCGGCGGAACCCCGCATACGGAAGGCGAGTAACTCGCGTTCCAGTCGGGACTTCCAGTCCGGGTCGCCGTAGCGTCTCTCAAGCTCCCTGACGAACTCTTTGTACTCTTTGAAGTAGTCTGGTCGGTCATCGTCTTCCTTTTCAAGGAGGGAGGACCACCATGCTTGCGGGGGCCCGGTCAGGCGGGAACCCATGTAGTAGATTTTCGCTCGGTCGGTCGAGTAGCGTCTCGGCTGACCTTCGAAAACACTTTGGCAACCCCGGATGAATGTCCGGAACTTTGAGCGCGTTCCGTTGAACTCCTCGGGGTCTTTAACCTTTGCCTCGAGTTCGCGCGTCTGACCCCCATCGTAGTTCCCGGGGGTAGTCTGGCGACTCTGGGTCGCGAGCAGGTTTGCCAATACCTGAGCGACCTGTTGGTTGACCAAGGTTTGCGTGTCGAGCGGGGCTACAGGCGGGTTGGGTAGAGTTGGAGGCGCGCCCCGGGAACCCGAGGTGTCGGGCGACGATGGGGGCGAGTCTTCTGGTCCAGGTGTCGGTACCGGCGGGTCCCCCGTAGGGGGAGGAACCGGTGTCGGGTTCGACATGTCGCTGTGCCTCGTTCGACGCAACGATGGTAAAGGTTGAGTGGGGTACTGGTTACCAGAACGAAGGGTTCGGCGACCAGTTGCTTCGAGGTTCGGGGTCGATTCTGTTATTCTGTAAGGGCCCGTCGTACGGGGTGACGGGACCGGCGAAGTACGAAGTCCGAACGGGAAGCGGAGGCGGAGTTAGG